TTTAAAGTTGTATGAAAGAAGCTTGCAAAGGCAGTATAATTTTCAGAGGTCCCACTTTTAATTTTCCCCTTACTAAAAATCTAGAGTTTTCTTAGACTAACACTCAAAATTTCAAATACTACTAATAACTACTTCAATTATATTCCAGTAACTGTAATTTTCAACCTTCAGTACAAAATGAAATCTATCACATGTGGGGTGTATGAGTCTGTGTGTGCACTTTAAAAACTGCTACCACTTGAGAATTATCCTCAGATAGTGATTTACTTGTTCTGAGATGTCACTTGGCATCAGAATTTTGAAAATGTTCTTCTAGTTCATTCTAATGCATAGCCATGGTTGAGAGTACTGCTACAGAAAATTAACTATTATTTGGAGCCAGCCAAGACTGACATGTTAAAAAATGACTTTAGAGCTTTCTTCTATAGAAAATAAAGAGATCAGAATTTGAACAGAAAGAAAAACCTTTTCTAAGAAAGGAAAGCTAAAAACAAATACCATGGAAGGCGCTCTACAAGAAAAATCTCTTTTGTCTGGATGCTGGTGTAGTTCAACTGAAGCTTGAAAGAGAGAATTCTTTATCAAACTAGTTGGCATTCACTGACAAGGAAAAACACACTGAAAAGGAAATAGTTTTTAATCAAATATGCTACATCCAAAGGAAATAAAGCTGTTATGGTTTGGATCTGAAATGTCCCCCAAAGGCATGCATGTTTTTATACTTGGTCCCTAGCTGGTGGTGCTGTTTTGGGAAGCTGTAAAAAGTCTGGGACACAGGCCACTAGGGCAGGCCTTGAAGGTTATACCGAGCCATCTGCAGATCTGCTTCCTGCTTCCCGATGGATCAAGATGTGAGGAGCCTCTAGCACCTACTCCTGTTGCCATGAAGTCTGCTGTGCCTTCCTTGCCATGATGGACTGAACAGTGAGCTAAACTAAGTTTCTCCTCCTGTAGTTGTTTCTGTCAGGGATTTTATACATCACAGTGATAAGTAACACAATACCCAAGAGTAGTTGATTGTTTGGATATTATTCTCATCTTTGAATATTATGAGAAAATTATGTGGAAAAGATCTAAATGTAGTCTTTCTTTATGCTGCTGACCAATTTTATTTGAAGCCATGGAAGAAACAGAAAAATAACCTTGATGCTCCTTTTCTGTATTACAGATAATTTACCTAGAATCAAGAACTCTGATCTAACTCACACAAGGTCTAAAGGACATGAAACATATAGTCAGAAATGTAAAGATTCACCTAATTGTGCTATGGCTGTAAAGGAAAGAGAAGAACAAACTCCAGTGTTTTCCTGATAGCCAGACTGTAGCTTATTTACTATTTTGAATCTTTCCTCTTGATTAAAAAAAGATTCAAAGGGAGGTCACCCTCCTCCTTGAGAATAAGGCAAGGTGAAAGCATAATGCTGGGGGTGAAGACAGTGACTAACAGAGAGGTATCAGCAAGGATGGAAGCAACACGATAAATGGCATTATCTATCTGCCAGTGACAAATGCATGAAGCAGATAATCAAGAAAGTACCTAGGAAGGTTGTTATGTATCAGCCTGAATGAGACATTAGCCATTTCAGTCCAGCTGCTGTATCAGGTTCATCTAGCTGGGGCTATTCTGAGAGGTCATATTATTAGGATCCAACACTAAACCAATCAAACTAGGACCTGTAAAATTCAAACTAATGCTATTACCCAGTAAGCCAGAGGAAGCCAAGACTGTGAAAAGGAATAGGTGTCCCAATCTTATGTGTGTAAATACTGTGCCTCTTGTCTACATCCTATTATTCTGAGGTTGACTTTTTTCTCCGTGAAGAAAATAATGTCAATTATATGCCAAATGAATCAGACAGAATACAAGAAGGAGAGGTATCAGTTTCAGAGAAAAATGTGTTGTTTGCTTTTATTACCTTATTTTATTTATTATTTTGGTCTTTTGAGACAGGGTCTCCCTGGAGTCCCAACTGGCCTAGAACTATGTAGACCAGGCTGGCCTTGAATTCAGAGATCTGCTTGCCTCTGCCTTCCAAGTGCTGGGATTAAAGGTGTGTGACACCATGCCCAGTTTTTTTTTTTTTTTTTAAAGACAGGGTTTTTCTATATATCCTAGGATGGTCTTGAACTAATAATCCTGCCTCAGTCTCCTACTTCCCAGGATTATAGGCATGGGATAACATGCATGGCCATGGAAAAGAACATTTCAAATGCTGAAAATTGAGAATTTCCCTAAAGGCTTTTTTTTCTCTTTTTCTTGGTCTTTTTGAGACAAGGTCTCAGCTGGCCTGGAACTCGCTATGTAGACCAAGCTGGCCTCAAACTCACAAAGATCTGTCTGCCTCTGCCTCCCAAGTGCTGGGATAAAAGGCATGTGCCATCTCGCCTGGTAACTTCCTAAAGGCTTTTAGTTGATACTCCAAACTTCAACAACTGGCACAGTTCCCTAGTCTCCAATCTAAACTATAGATTTGTAGCCATTAAATGGTACTAAGAACAAAAGTTAACATTTGGCTGGTCACTTTGCCACATCTAAAGTAATGCTTAATGGGGGCTGAAGAGATGGCTCAGCAGTTAAGAGCAGTTAAGAGTTTGATTCCCAGCACCCACATGGCAGCTACAAACCGTCCTTAACTCCAGTTCCAGGGGAATCCGAAACCCTCTTCTGATCTCTGCAGCACTGCATGACACAGATGCACTCACATACATGTGAGCAATACACTCATACACATAAAATAAAAATAATAAAATATTTTTTTTTAAAGTAATGCTTAATGAGACTACTGGAGCTCATGTTGAATTGCAGAATTATCTAATAACAGGACAGAAAGCAGTGATTTCATGGTGACTATTGTAACTTACTAGCTGAAGGGATTTCAGTACATTACACGATCTTTGAAACAGAACCAGGCAGAGCCAAAAGTTTAAGCATACATGTAAGCTCTACATCAGCTCCCTCCCGATACCAAAAGACTGAAAGG